TACGTACAGCTCTTCGGAATGAGGGTAATTGCCTTTGGGACAGGTAGTGATTGATGCGAAGTCAGAATCGCGTCGTCTGTAAATTTGATAGAGAGACTTCTAGTGCAAACACTTAAACGCGTAAGTCGCTTGCATACATGTAGATAATACGTAGATCTGGAATAATTATATCACTATACGTACTTACCCTTGAAAGAATGAAGGCTTGCGTTTGTACAGGCTGTATCTTATCTTTTCTGGTTTATTCTTCAGCGTAACGGAATTATTTCGTTTTTCTGATGGTCGAAATAATCAGATTCTGTAGGTCTTTCTTAAGTATAATTAAAACTTGTTCCAGAAGAAAATCCGATTAATGAAATAAATTCCCAATGCCGAAAATTAATTTGTATCGGAATGAGGAAAATGTGCCTTAAAAACAAAACAAATTTAGGAAAATGAATATACCATTTAAATTTCTTCTTAAAATTTACAATATTATATTTCCTAAAAATAATTTGAATTGGTTTTTGTTTCTTAATTTACATCCCAGTTGTTCACGTGCAAGATTTGCACTGCTGTCAGTATTATGAAAACTTACTCCTACCTTTATTTCCATCTGTTCATCCCTTCAAACAATGCTAATAGAAAAGTATAGTCATCTGCGGTTCGCAGTACGCCGTTTGTTTACCATGCAACTCTGCTATTTTTTAGCACTTTAGCACGTTCGTCAAATTACCAATTATTCGAACACTGTTCTTCTGTTTAATTTTTTTTAATACATGTTGTTTCACTTTTCCCGCCTTATACTAAGTAAAGACAACATAATATTGAAACATCTCAAATCTCAAATACCATTCAATTAAAACCTTGCTTCAATATCTTTTGTCTGTATCTTCTTACACACCGTCACGATTAAGAGACTTATAAACATGTTTTTAATTATTTTTAGAATATTGCTGAAATTGTTAATTGTATTCCTGGGCTTTTTTTCGACAAGGCCATATTTTTTCAGCGAATATTCACTGTAAATCTTTCTTTCATCAATATAGCACGGGAATTCAATGGTTTCATTAAAACGACAAAATACATTGCCACAGAAATATACCTAAATAAAACTAAACAGATTTACAGTAATATCACTTAAATTAAACAGATGTATTTCAAGAATTTATAAAATGTCACATAACATTTCTGGGTTTCACCCAACATATGCTAATTTATCGGAATTCCCTAAAGTCAATCAAACCTATTACATAGTTTTATTACTTTCTTCCTGGACAAATTAACAAGTATTATCACATTGCATTCCAAGTTACCGATTCCAATCGTGAAGCAAAAACATAAAAAACAAACAACCCAAAAAAAGCAAATTTCTGCGCAAAAGCTAAATCAATTTCCGGAAATTTCGCAAAACCGAAAGACCAGATGTTGCGCGCGTCGGTGCTTCTCCGCCGAAGTTCACCGAGCGCGGAAAAAAGTGGGCGGGGCGCGTGCTGTCTCGAATTTCACGCTGGATAGTTCTGCTCGTCTTCCGTTGCAGGGAGGGGCGGGGCGGGAAGACGCACGGCAACGCAGGTATTTATATGCAACATGTGCGCGTGGAGCAGCCGGGGGAGTAGTCCGGGGCGGCTACTCGGAAGTAATTACTGGTGAGCGTTCTTCTTTTCGTAGGCGGGCGGGCGGGGGAGGCTGTTTCATCGTGTTTTCCCTCACCTGCTCAGCGCGGTAAAGGCCCGGACGACCCGGTGCGCACTGCACATTACTTTTCTACCGAAAAAGGCGCGTCTTTGCTTTTATGGGAGAAGAAAGCAGCGTATTCGAGATGGAATATCGAGTCCTCGTGGAAAAGGGTGAATCTGGTGTGTTTTTGTTGTGGTGCTTTCGGTTTAGAGCTCATCGGCAACAATTGAATGGTTATTTTAGAAACAACGTACATCAGTGAAGAGTAAATTTTTCAGTTCAAAGACAAAACTCCTTCTGAGAGTATTATATCACAAACAGTGTTCACCGTCTTTGGCAAGGTCTGTTTTCAAAACACCCTCAGAATTGTTTTAATTGTGCAGAACAAAGTACGTTCGATTGATAAACAAACAGCGTATACTTAATAGACATGTGACTTGTACTTAGAAGATTAACAGTAGCAGAAATGATTATGTTGTTTCTGATTAACCGTTCATGAATGTACTTGCGTACTTCGACGATAGGTCTAGGATCAGTCCGTCGATTACAGGTTTTTTAAAACACTATATATAGCTAGAATCTGAATCATGTTTCTACTCTGGGATGGTTCTAGCATCAGTTGTTTTGATGGTTGTTATTCCATAGGTTCTTCGATTACACAGGTGAATCGCAGAGAGACCTAACGAACAAAATGTAATCGATTTTTTCCTTCCTTTCCTTGTCCTAATTACTGTTTTTCTGTTGATTGTATTCCATAGTTCTCCGAATTACACAGAGTGATGCCGAGAGTACCCTAAACGAACAAAAATGGTAATGATTTTTCCTTCCTCTCTCCTGTGTCCTTATTCCAGTTTTTCATGCTTGATGTATTCATCACGCCTCCCGATTAACAGCAGTGAATGCAGATGCACGTACCTAAACGAACCAAAAATGTAATCGATTTTTCCTTCTCTTTCCTTGTCTAATTCCAGTTTTTTCTGATTGATGAATGTATTCCATAGTTCTCGATTCAACAGGTGATGCCAAGCAGTACCTAACGACCAAATGTAATCCGATTTTTTCCTTCTCTTTCCTTGTCTCCTAATCACTCTTACGTACACACTGATATATGCCAAACGTTACAGGAACTAGCCGTGAGGTCAGTTGTGAGACATAGGGTTTGTTCCAGTGGACGGGAATGCCTTCTGGTGGAGCCACATTTGTTTCCTGGAGCTTTTTCCAGTGAGGGGGATCCGATTTCGCCTGCCCACTCTTGGTACAGACACGTACAACCCACCTGGGTCTTGCGTGGACACATATTTAACCTTTACATTAGAACAAGACATTGACACACTTGCGAGCTCTGTGGTCTGTGGTCTGCAAACTCGCAAGGTCTTCCGAGACAACACACGTAAATGAAAGGCAAAGGACAAATAACCATGCCAGCGACGGGTCTCGAACCAACGACATTTCATACCTAGGTGCGGTGCTGTGCCGGTAGAACATCTAGCTACCTCAGCCATCCAGGTCGACTGGTGGGAAATACCTGGTTGGGGAAAACCCAGAAACCGACGTGTAGGTCGTCGCCGGATCTCACCATCCAGAGGGGGTGATCACCGTCACTTTCCTCGATAAAAACAACAAAAATATGCTCTTCACCTCCTGGGCTAACGACCTCGGCAGTTGACGCATCTGGAATCAATCGACAAGTGATTCAACGGGTTGAATCATCAACTTGCCACATTCGTGTGCATTTTGATTCATCTAACGTGATCTCCCAATATCACTTTTATTTCTTCACCCATCCATATACTCCATATAATATGCACTAATGTCAGGGACGTTCGTCATTGTATCAATAATATTCTTTGAGATGAGTTGTTACTGTTTGGAATTGAAAAAAAAAATAGTATGTAAAATTCGTAGTCTTTCTTCTTTTGTGCTCTGTTGCAGTAGGCACCGTTGAAAACATGTGAATATTTAGTTTACCACCTTCTAATGAAAAATTTACCTTTTCTTTCAGCTCTGGTTTAAAGCAACAAGTACAGTGTCAAGGTTACGTTATTGGATGATGTATAGATACTACACAATCTTATCCAAAACGATGTGTCATCGAGCTCTGAAATGGCGATTTGGCAATTTTTCTGGTGATTAAGACACTAATAACACTGCAATTATAATGTCTTCCTAATGTGGTGATTAGCAAATGTGTTGCCAAGTTTCAGTTATCTCCTGAGCAATCTTAAGTGTTGTGAACAACCTTCAAAACTATCTTGTGTAGAAAACATTAATATAAGAAACTCATTTTCTAACGGTTCTCTATTGGTGGTAATGTAATACTATAAACCGATTACACTTTTTTCAGAGCTAATTTTTCAGAGCTAATTTAGTAGTTAAAATTTCTATTCTTTATGTGGAGAGAAAAATGTAAAGCTTCAAATATTAAAAATTTAAGAATGGTACGTTGAGTAAATGGTTCGATGGGGGATATGTTGGTTTCAAAACCATACTTAAATACGCGAGAACGTCTACGTGTGACGAGAAAAAAGTACTTTCTGAAATAGTGTCCGAGACCGCCTTTGACATCTGCATTTAAATATCGCGGCCCCCTGATATATAACCATTCGTTGCGGTGCTCGTAATAGCAACAAATTGCACGAAATCAAATTTTCCGACATGTCTTTCTCTGCACCCAGAGAACATCAGAATGGCCAGTTTTCTTGTGAAGGACCGACCCATGCTGTCATACATTCTATTTAATGTGGGGAAAATCACCAGTAGTGGTCGTTGTGAAGATTATATATTAAGTTTTCCCAACATTCTTAGGCTACAGTACTAAATTTTTTACGTGATACTCAATGGGTGATTAAAAAAATAATGAAATCTGGAATAAGCAATAAATAATCAAGTTTCTATGTCCTGAATCTGTTCGAAACATTAAGAGCAAATAAGTGCCAGATCATGCGACATCATTTCAGTGCCAATATTAATACATTCTTATTCTTTTACATAAACGACGAGCAAAAAATGAATTAATTTCATTCTACACTTTGTCGCAAAAAGGCATGTGCTCTACGCTGAGAAAGTTGGAAGCAAACGGGGAGTCTCATATTCTTATTTTTATATTTTGTGCTTTTATTAAGCACAACTGACACAGTCATCACTTCTGATGTATTTACGCTCTGCTTGAACGAGAAATTGCGGTGTATTCTAGAGCACAATTTCGTGACGATTACGTTTTGAATATAGGGGTCCAAATTGTAAGATGTATTGAAAACGTAAGACATCGTCTCAAATAAAATTATATTTTGAAGTTGGGTTCGAAGATCGATGGCCTTTCTTACGGTAAGAAATGTCTGAAATTAAGTATTTGTATATTTTTATTTTGTGAATTCTCTTACAATGATTTATATTAAAATTATACAGGCAATTAATTTTACCAGAACGGATAACTAGGATTTTACAGAAGTTATGATGGCATCCATTTAATATGGATATAGCTAGCAAGATATTTGTAATAAAAAATATCTAGGGATATTATGAAGGGATAACTACAATATACAAACTGCAAATGAATAGTTAAAATGTGAAAAAGCACGCAATATTCACTCACTACACATTAAAAAAAATCACACAACAATGAAACTATGACACAAAGAGTCTTTGACTAGTGGAGCGATTCCGCGTGTATCCTTTGCCCCTGGTGCAGTTGGCGAGGCGTTGATTGGTTGAGTGGCGTGCGCAGCTAGGTGTAGTCTTTGGGCACGGGGCGCACCTCCCACTGGCACTCCTTGCCGAGGAAGCACGCGTGGCAGATGTCGCAGAGCACGCACTGCACCGCGCAGCCCTCGGTGTGCGGCAGCTGCTGCGCGCACGCCTTGCACGGCCCGCACTCCTGCTGGCATCCCCTGCGGCACAAACGCGCTCCGTCAGCCATCGCCGCAAAGACATAGCGCACGCACACGCCCATATATACAAGCCCCCTCACACACACACGCCTCCCCACACGCCCCCCACACACATGCCCCCCACACACGCCCTCC